TGTATTAGATTCGATCCCACGACATGGAGTGGAAAAACTTGCACACCTGGTTACCGTACTCTGGCACTACTACTACTACCGGAGGCAAGCACTCAGGGCCACGACTGCATTACCCAGTCAAGTCAGCTGCCGAGGTCCCACTGTTTTCCCACCACACTTTATCGACAGTCCGTCCAGTTTATCCCACAACACTCGTTTGCATGAATAGGTTCGGGTGGAAACAATGACAAATCTCTGATAAACCGCTAAACTCAGTACCACGAGCTACATTGAAAACAAATGAAAATGCAGATGTCTGCCGAGAAGAATATGTTCGCCATATGCAATCTATGCCTTAATCCATCGAGCTCTCCGTTGGGCGGGGCATGGCCCATGAAGTCGCCCCCGGTATTCCGCCCATACAACCAAACACTGACACAAAACGTTGCACGTCTGGGCCCATGTAAACCACGACACTTCCGTGTGGATTGGCTACCCCCGCTCCCCATGTCAGGGGTCCTCCCTCCTGCTGTTGACTCCCGGATTGCCCACGCACAAACGCCAAACGTTGGCGCAGAAAACAGACAGGCCATTGTAGTATGGCATCAAACCACGCATAACCCACAGCGGCTTTCAGTAGCAGTACTGCTTGGTGAATGTGACCAGCCGTGTACTCTGTTGCGCATCTCTGGAAAAACAGGCTCTGATAGCTTGCACCACCCTGCACCCCAAAAGGCGGGTTGACAAACACATTGCCCATCCACGCGTTGCACTCCAACAGACCATCGGATTCCATATCGTAATACACTGTCGCCCCAACACGTGTGTTAGCAGCCGCGGACGAGCATGGGTCCAGGTCGATCCTGCCAGGAGTGAACACCTCGCGCACCAGCTCTATGATACTCAGTGGGGTGAACCACTCCGGACTCTCACTGGAGAGAAACAGGCGCACATTCCCACCCCCTCCGCTTCGAACCATATGGACTCCCTCACCAGACTCGCTATCGCTAATATCCATGTCGCCACGTCGGGGCTGACGATGCGCTGTGCCTCCGGATCCATGTTGGGACCAACGGTGCGCGCTCCAGGTGCAGGAGTGGGTGAAG